TGATATTTCGGCCAAATCAGTGTTGTACCAATGACATGTAAACAAACCGACTGACGTTTTTACAGGAAATAGTGCTTCTGCATCTGTTCTCCTTTTACTCTCACTTGAGAGAGTAAAATTGTAGTTTGACAGTTCCACAGGTTTTAGTCCGAAGTTCAAAGGAACAGACTAATTGTAACCACGAGCTCACTTTCGGCAATTTTGGCGCAAATTAATCTCTTGCGCATGTGTATATGCAGATGTGCCTAATTATCATATACTTCCTTTAAATTCACAATTGTCACTTTGAGCACTGAAACTCTAAATGGTAGCCAATTATATACTTCGGCCACAGATCATACATAATTATTTAAGTAGTACATATGTATATATGTATAGATATATATACGTACATACATACACACTCGAATGCCCAAACATATATATACATATTTTTATCCCCCCCTCAATCTCGTGCTGTCGTGAGCACCCTTTGATGCACTTGTTTGCATGCATTTGTACGAGTATACACATGCATACATATGTACATATATCCCAGCTTACGAACATATTAAAACCCAGTTATACTATCTCCGGTATAAGACACAAGGGAAAGCCGCCGAAATCGTCAGAAAATATCCCCTCACAGACGATAATTTTGATCTGGCCTGGGAGGCTCTAAAAGCCCGATTTTAAAATAGGCGCTTACTGGTGGATATTGAAATAAAAACTTTGATGAATTTACCCCGCATCAACTCCGAAAATGCTGAAAATATCATGAATCTCCAAAGCAAAATAAACAACTGTCTTGTCCGCTTTAAATTCACAAAACGTCTCGACAGACAGTTGGGACCCAATTCTTGTAAATATTTGCTCAACGAAGCTCCCTGAAAAAAGTTTATGCCTCTGGGAGCAATCGCTATCATCATCACGAGAGCTACCCTCATGGTCGGAAATGAATAATTTTCTCCCGTCGAGGTTCGAAGTTCTCGAAAGAATAAATATGTTCTTCCCAAAAGCATCTACGAAGAAGTCGGTCCCCAAGAAAAATAATAAAACTCGATCTCCAGAGACAAACACTAAATTTTTGTTTACTTGCTATTTGTGCAAGATCCCACATCCAATAAAAAAATGTCCAAAGTTCAAGACTCTCCGCACTAAAGACTGTAAAGAATTCACAAGAGCACACGATATGTGTGAGAACTGTCTTGCTTACTCCCACAAATTGGTAGAATGTACTTCCCATTTCACATGCATTTATTGCCACAACCGGCACAACTCCCTATTGCATGTGCATCAAAAACAGCACCCCCAAATAACTAAAACTCAAAAGTATGCCGTACGATCAAACACCTTTGATCACCAAAGGCATAAAACTCCGCATTCTCAATCAAAGGATGCGGCCAATCAATGGCCATTCAAAAGCGAAAGCCGTCCAGCATATAAAGGTAAACATGGTCACCCCCGATAAGCTCACCCACTCGATGCTCCAGCCGCGCCATCTCCTGCAACAGCCATCGTTGCCCAACCGAAGCCAATAACTTTTCTGGCAACTGCGCGGGCATATGCTTATGGAGAGGCATTGGTTCAACGCATGGCTCGTATCTTGCGCAATCCGGGATCGCAGCTTAGCCTAATTATAGATCGCAAGACCATTCAGGACTTACTTGTAAGCATACTGTTGCGATGTCGTAGATACCCAGTGGCGATTACCGCTAACATTGAGAAGATGTTCAGGTGGCTTCTAGTTATTTCCGACTTCCATAGAATCATATGGTGAGAGTCACCTGTAGAATATCGGTGTTTATCTTCTGAAGCCCTTACAACGTCGTACCTGCTTTTCAACAGAATGCAGTCGATAACTACAATATAATTCGAGACGAGGAGCAAGCGGCTCTTGCAATCCTGACCTAGATCTATGTTGATGACTTTTTGATAAGCTGTGCGAATTTCAGTGAAAGAATAGAACTCGCGAGGAAAGTAGATGATATTTTATCTGCGGGGAAGTTTAGGCTGAGCAAATAGAATTCAAACAATAATCATGTAACGATGTGTTTGGCGAGTAACGCCTCTATTTCCAATTATACATTCAACTCCGGCTAGATTTCGGTCCTGGGATTTAAATGAGATTCGGTGACTGCTGAGTTGAGCTTGAGCAGACAAGAGACGTTCCCTCCAAGAGAAGAATGCTTAGGAAGGTCGCCCGACTATTGGATCCGCTTCAGTTCCATCCCGCCGTTACTAAGGCCAGTGACCTTCCTGATACGATACCGAGACGTCGACACTTTCGTCAACATGTTGTAAGTGCTCGAGAGTTAGATGACGAAGTATTGATTCTGCTGAAGGGCAACTCAGGTTTGTCATCTTTAAATAAGTTTCTCTCAATAAATCCATTCTTAGATGAGCACCTGATTCTACGTGTTTGAGGTCGACTCCTTAAGGCGGAAATGAGACAGGATTAGCGATTCCCGATGATCTTGCCGAGGTTCCGTCCTCTTAATCCGACAAGCTCATGAGACAACGCGAACACGGTTGCCGTTTTGGTCCAAATGGACCAAATTTGGTCCACTTCTTTTCGTTTGGTCCATTGGTCCAATTCTTTTGAAAATGGTCCATTTCACAAGCCTTTGGTCAGGATTATTATCATGCAATAGTTTCGCGTTTTCAATTTTTTCTATTTAATTGATGAATATTCCGCCCCATGTTGAACATGTTCATCGTCAGTAAAAGTGACGATACGGACATCGTCAGCCATGTTACTGATGCGCTGACGATCGTCGACGATGACGATATTCAGCATAGGGCCGATTGGCAACACCTGCTAAAAGTGTGAACTCGCCTTGCCACATCTTCAAATATGGCATGTATATGGCAATATCGCGGTTTCTTGCTAATTTCAATTACTCGGTGACTAAAGTGGCTGGTAAAAAAATGGAAAGGTAGCTAAACTTAAATCATAGCATTTAGCACATGAAAATAATATTCGATTTCAATCGAAAAGATATTAAACATCTTGAAATTATTACACCACATAAAGTTCTTTCTGATACTGATGTATCAATTTTGCGCTACTCGCCCATTTTCTGGAATCGGTAAAAATGATGCAGACATAATTGAATTTCAATTTCGCAAATTGAGGCTGAGTGAAGGTAAATTCAAAAAATTTACCTATATAGACCGTTTTTGGGATCAAGTAAGTGTGATTAAAGATAGAGTGGGTGAAGCGGCCTTTGGAGAATTGTGTGATTAGTTCATAATATTTTTAATCTACCTCACAGTTCCGCAGCAGCTGAGCGCATCATTAGTAAAATCAAATTTAAAAAACAAATTATAATATAAAACTATAAATAGTATAATGTTAATAATATACAATTTTAATGCACTTTGGATGTTATATAAAAAAAAGTCGATATAAAAACTGAATTGTCATATTTTCTTGATAAAGAGGTATAAACTCCACTCGATTACCCGATGTAATAAAAATTGGTAAATTTTTTAACATTTGGTCCATTTTTTGGTCCGAAAAATAAATTGGAAATGGCAACCGTGAACGCTACATGCAAGAGCACAGCTGACGCTGCTTATACTTCAACGCCGTTTTTGGATTTAAAACGTGAGGCAAGCCGTCAAGTCTTTTGTACACGACTGCATCGTGTGTCGACGCCATCGAGAGGCCATGCTCAAGCGGCAAATGAGTTCGTTACCCGGACGAGTTAAACCTGCAAGACCGTTTGTATCCTCTGGAATGAATTATTGCGGTCCTTTCACTCTACGGATTGGCACAAAACGCTCTCGCACTCGCGTGAAGACATACTTGGCGATTTTTGTATGCATGGCGACTAGAGCCGTTCTCATCGGTGTGGTGGATGATCTGTCTCCGCAAGCGTTCTTCAACGCTTTTACTCCCTTCATCCGTCGGCAGGGTCCTTGCCGCGATTTATGTAGCGATAACAGCACGGCGTTCATGGGTGCGGATGGACTGGCCCAGGAAGACCTGGTGGCGTGGTACAATGAGAACAACCAACGCTCGTAGGCGAGCATGTGAACCCAGTAGAATTTCATCACTTCTTGTGCGCACCACCAGTGTGGTCTCTGGGAGGTTTCGGGTAAATCTGCTAAGCATCATTTGGTTCGCTGCGTGGGTTATCATACAATGTGATACACTCAATTGCGGACCCTGGCCTCGCGTATAGAAGCATGCCTCAATTCCCTTCCGATCACTCCACTGTAGGATGACCCAGAAATGAAGTTTGCACTGAACTCGTGCTTTATTGGTTTCGGCCAACATATAAAATACCACACCGCTTTATGTGTAAATAAGTTTTGTCTTTGTTAGGAAAAGATCTTCTATCTTCCAATTTTTCAGATTTCCAAGTAACGAGGAGCATCGGAAAAATTCGTCATACCGAGCCCTAACCGCTAAAATAATGTAGGTATATATATATATTTTTTTTAATTTGCTTTTTGATGCAGGTGCTCTAAGAGGCATTTATGCATCAAAATTAAATTTTGAAAAAAGCGTGAAAGAAACATCAGACCGTCAAATTTGTGTTTGTTTGTTGAATTCCCTGAACCGGCCCTGTTATGATATGGCACTTCATTCTATGTAGTAGTTTACAAATATACACGTATACTTCTACAATCACAAAAATTTTAATAGGCTGTCTTTCTTTGATTTCGAATGGAAAACTCATTGCGATCAGATTGTACTAGCAATATAGAAGTATTACATATATGACCCTATCTTATTGATAACTATATGTGTATCTACCTTGATATCTCTATTGTTTCTTAGATTCCATTTGCTTTAATATGATATATTTGTAATATGTATTCATTTTTCTATATAAGCGCGAAACCCTTTTGTATAGTCCATTTTTTGCAATATATTATATGCAGCAATAAACGTGCGATTCTTTTGAATTTAATGATTTTATTGCGGAATTTATTATAGAAATAAAAACAGTCACAAAGATAACTGTAAACACATAAATACTTATTATTAAATTTGTAAATTTCAGGGCAAAGGTACTGGATCCGGTCACAGAACTTTGCTTTATGGAAATGCGATACTCTTACGGCATCACAATAGTGATATGGTAAGTAAACGTGTTAATAAGATTTATTGGTTTACTGATCTTAAAATGTAATTATGTTCATATGTATGCAAATATGAAGATTTACACTAATTTAAATAAATTTAATATCTGCTTGCAGTATTTGGCCTGCCTGTCTACCTCTTCTTCGAACGACAAATTGTCTTTCGACGTGGGATTGCAAGAACACAGCCAAGGTGAAGCTTGCTGGTGGACAGTGCATCCAGCAAGTAAACAAAGATCTGAAGGTGAGAAAGTGCGAGTAGGCGATGATTTGATTTTAGTCTCGGTGGCCACAGAACGGTATTTGGTACGTGCATGTTTTTAAGCAATTTATTCTTTTGTCAATAATAATAACTTTATATGTATATGCATCTACAGCACACAACCAAGGAAAACGAACAGTCCATTGTAAATGCCAGTTTTCACGTAACGCATTGGTCAGTACAGCCTTATGGTACCGGTATTTCGCGTGTGAAATATGTCGGATATGTTTTTGGCGGCGATGTCTTGCGCTTTTTTCACGGCGGGGATGAATGTTTAACTATACCGAGTACATGGGGCCGTGAAGCAGGACAAAAGTATGTTGTTGTTGTTTTTTAAAGTAAAACTTCTTTCGCCGCATAAGAGTGATTTTTCACAGTTTCGTCACAGTCGTCCGGGAAAGAGATAAAACATTCGACAAGGAGCAGCATAGTTGCCAACTTGGTGCTTTAAGCACTAGATTTAGTCCTTTTTGCAAATTTAAACGCAAAAGAAAAATGGTTTAGTGCCCAGTGACTTTTTAGTGTTTTTTTTCTGAACACAAATCTATCATATACCATGTTTATATGATGCTTCAAATCGTTCTAAGTCAAACCATGTTATTTGGACACACACATGTAAACTCATTCTTAAATCGAATTGAAACTTTTAACCGTGCATATAACATAAATCACATTTTTGATGCGAGTTAAGGCACTCGGCACATTACGCGTCTAATCAAAGTAGAGTAATCGTTTCGTCATGCCGAAACGAATGCATGACGACTCGACTTCAGTGATGCCACTCACAAATTTTTTTCCGTACCAAAAAACGTACCAAAACGCTTTTGAGAGTGCCAAAAAGATTATTTTGCAGTAATAAAGTACGAATGGTTTTTATTTATTTATTATTTTTCAATACAGAAACAACAAGTTTTAAACATAAATTACCACAAATAAATTCACTTCACTATATTAAGTTTTAACAAAATTATTTAAAGAATTAAAGCTTAAAATCAAACTAAAAGGAACTACACTCACGGAAAAAAATATTGGCACAGAAAACTTTTTGCAATGTACGCAAACTTTTAATTATAATTGTTCCGTTATTTTTTATAAAAATTTAATTAATACTACAACAAAAAACATAAAAATATTATTTCTCTGATCAAATCTCAGGAGAATTCAATATATAATCATGCGAATTTTAATCTTTTTAAGCAGATTATATTTTTTCATGTTTTTTTTTTGTTTTAGGTCAAACTATATTTTCATGGAAAATTACCAGAAAAAAATAAAAATAAAAATGTTTGGACACATTGTAGAAAGTTCTTAGTGCTAATAGTTTTTTCCGTGATTGTCAAAGCCTGCATTTTGGTTTCACTTTATGGGCTTATAGTCTCTTGCAGGAGACCATACATAATGCATTTAATTTTTAACTAATTCTTTACATACCATAATATTATGGATAGTCTTAACTTCTAACTTATTTCTAGGACTTGTTTTAATAAGATTAAGGGACGAAAACTTTCTTTCTGCATCTGCAGAGCTATGCGGCAAAGTTAATAAATTAAAAATAAAATTGGTCAGTTCCGGGAACATTAGCTCGCCCAATCCATTTTTAAAGCTTCCTGCCTTTTGCCAAAAAGAATTAATATCCAAATCGCTTTTCAAATTATGGTCGCTTAACTTACGTAAAGTCCATTGGCTACTGACTTTATCATTATCATCACTTAAATTTTGAAATTTTAAAATGAGATCAAATATAAAGTTATCCCTATCAGACAAAACTTCAAAAGGTGTTATAATTTTTAACAATTCAAGATCTTTTCTATTAAAATCAAACCGCATTTTGACTTGGTCTAATAGCTCAATATAAAATTTTAAAATACTGTCATTTATTTTATTTATTTGCCCAAGTGTTAGATTAGTTTTCGATAACAATATTTCGGCTTTTGATCCTATGAAAATTTTGTCTTTTTGCATATGATTAGAAACATTTTTGTAATCAATATTGACTTCAGGTGGTGTGCCTTTTCTAATAAAATTGCTTAAAATGAACAAGGAATTAAAATATAGATACGGCAAGCGGCTTTGTTCTGATTAGAAGTCTTTGTTTAAGTTATTTATTAACGGCAGCACATATGATAAAAATAAAAAGTAAACTTTGGTTTCATTGTCCATTTTTTCAGCCAACTGATCAGATCGAAGCGCATTGACCTCTGGTTTTGAACTAATAAAAAATAGCTTTACACTATCCCATTGTTCAAGGATGCGCAAAATAACTCCTTCTAATGAGAACCACCTTGCATGGGATATCCCTAAAATTTTGTGTGGTTTTACCGCACAATAGTTCTGAAATTCTATAAAATCGTATACTCGTTTAGGGCTGTGCGAGAAAAACCCCTAAATATTTCGACACACCCACTCTATTTGCTGTGCCAATTTTTTGCAAGCATAGACTGTACAGAGGTGAAGTGAGTGACATGTACATTTTAAGTAAAAATTTACCTGTTTCCGCTTCAAATAGAGTTCTAACGCTTTTTAAATGTCCCGCCATTACGCTTGCTCCGTCCGTAGCCAAGCCAATAACATTTTCAATTAGAATCTCATATGCACGGAAAAAATCTTTAATAGCTGCAAACACTAAATTTGCGTCACATTTGCGCCAGCTGAGATTCGAACCGGGGTGCTCAGTTTTGTTAGCCGAATACTCTCTCTGCGTGCCAACGCCGCACATAAAATTTCATTGACTAAGTGCGTACATATCATTAAATCGTTAATAGTACCCGTTAGAGATGAGTTGAGGACTAATTGATCTCCAATTATACCCATAAGGGATCTCCATAATTGATCTCCATTAGTACCCGTATGAGACTAGTTGCGACTAATTAATGCCCAATTATACCCGATTGAGAGTAATCTCGGAATACTCTCTTTAGAGATTAGTCGCACAATTTTTTGCAGGGAAGTTTCAAAATTTCAGCACTATTAAAAAAAAATCAACAAAAGTTCGTACAAATTTCTATCTTCTTCAAACTTCTAAAAAATCAATCGAAATGTTTAGCCATTTGAAACTCGTATTTTATCTTATTACGATTGAGTATGTAGTCCACTTGCAAACAGCGTTATGTGATTTTATAATAGTAAGCCATAAACTAAAAAAAAAACATCTACAACAACAAGTAAAATCCAAATTTTATCATTTTTTTATTATCTGAAAATTTGGATAAATAAGAGCCTAATAACATTAAAAAACGAAATCGGAGTATGTTAGTTTTTGCAAATCTTATATATAACTAGTAATTTTTGTAATTTTTAGAAAAAAAAAACCGACTTCAACTCCCATATAAAAAAAATATATATATATATATATATCTCATGATCCGCTGATCGGATCTTAACCAGCAATCGGTTGACGTGGTCCAAAGTTATGCGGTAACATACATAAAAAAAAAAAAAAAATATTCCGACGAACTGATAACCTCCTCCTTTTTTGGAAGTCGGTTAAAAATAAGTGCACGTTTTTGGTGTGACCTCATAACTTGAGAACGGCTTCACCGAATTCAACCAAATTTATGTGGCATATTCGATCTATCATGCAGATGGTTTATGTTTTCCCGAATTCGGAAAAGGGGGCGTGGCACCACCCACATTAACTGAAATATAAAAATAAGAGAACGTTTTTGTTGTGACCATATAACTTGAGAACGGCTTCACCGAATTCAACTAAATTTATGCGCATATTCGGGCTATCACGCAGATGGTTTATGTGAAGTTTGGTTGAATTCGGAAAAGGGGGCGTGGCGCCTGTATTTTATATATAAAAATTAGTGAGTTAGCTTATAACTTGAGAACGGCTTAACCGAATTCAACCAAATTCATAAAGCGTATTCGGGCCATCATGCAGATATTTTATGTGGAGTTTGCCCAAATTTGGAAAAGGGGGCGTGGCATATGTATCTTATGTATAAAAATAAGTACACGTTTTTGGTGCGAGCTTTTAACTTGATAACGGCTTCACCGAATTCAACGAAATTTATACGGCATATTTAGGCTATCATCCAGATGGTTTATGTGAAGTTTGCCCGAATTCGTAAAATGGGGTATGGCACCTCCCATACTAACTAAAATTTTTATGTTGTATATCTCTTGAAATATTTGTGGTAGAGTATTGGAAATTGGTATAGAGTTATATCAAATAATTCCATACTCATGGAGAAAAATGGGCGGTATTGGAAAAGAGGGCGTGGCACCTCCCATCTTATATATAAAAAAGATGTGCAAGATTTCAACCAAATTTATATGGCTTAGTCGGGCTATTATGCAGATGGTTTGTGTTAAGTTTCCCCGAATTCGGAAAAGGGGGCATGGCACCACCCATACCAACAAAAATTTATCTGGTATATCTCTTGAAATATTTGTGGTAAATTACTGGAATTGGTATAGAAACATATGAAATAATTCCATACTCCCCATCTTAAATAAAAAAATAAGTGCACGAATTCTACCAAATTTAAAGGGTATATTCGGACTATCATGCAGATGGGTTATGTGAAGAGTGCCCGAATTCGGTCCAGCGGTTCATGATATATGACAGTTTATGTCTGTCACGTGAACCACGTATATGGTACAACAGCAGATACATGAAAAATCGAAAACATAGTGAAAAATTCTTGCTATGATGTGCTGTGTTTATTTTTTCTTCGGATAAATTAAGTCAAGTATAAACATAGCTGCATTATAGTTCTTGTTTAGTACTTGATTTTTTTTTTAAACATATACGATTTAAAAACAACAAAAACAGATTGTTTTATTTCAACCCGGCCTTGAGCTCAAAAAATATTTCAATAATTTTGCACAAATTTGTTGCATCATTTCGTACGAAAGGTTTCAAAACGTAGTGGAAAATTGTTGCTATAATGTGCTGATTTTATTTTTTCTTCGGATAAATTAAGTCAAGTATAAACATGGCTGAAAGTTTTTCAATAGGGATTTTGTAGAGCCAATGGAATGAAAGTCACCACAACACAACATATCTGCCATTTCATCGTATTATCGAATAGGTGGTGTACATTGATATTCGGTCTTTCTATTTTTGACTTTGAAGAATCAACACAATGCAGGATTTACGTGGAAATCAACAGCTTTTTAGTGGTGCTTTGGTATTATTGGTATTGGTGTCGAAGCAATTGTTAGAGATCGAAGTGGCAAAGTTCGAATCGATAATACAAATGGCTTGATTACATTGCCGAAGAATTTTTGTACAATTCTCCAATTAAAAGAAAAATTGATTGAATGCGTGTTTCCAAATATTGCTCAAAATTACCTGTATCACGATTGGTTGAGAGAACGCGCAATACTTGCACCAAAAATGTGCATGTCAATTCAATCAATTATCAAATTCTAGAAAAATTGCCATATGAAGTGACAACGTATAAATCTGTTGACAGCGCAATGAATCAAGATGACGCAGTGAATTATTCAGTTGAATTTTTGAATTCAATGGAACCGCCTGGTAAGCCACCACATTGTTTGAATTTAAAGGTCGGCTCATCAATTATTTTACTACGGAATTTAAATGCTCCAAAACTGTGTAATGGCACAAGAATGGCAGTAAAAAAATTGATGGCGAATTTAGTTGAAGCAACAATACTGACTGTCAAAGCGAAAGGTGAAATTGTGCTCATACCACGTATTCCACTGATAAAAACAGACATGACGTTTGAATTCAAGCGTTTGCAATTCCCAGTGCGTCTAGCATTTGCCATGTCCGTCAACAAGGCGCCAGGACAAACTCTTCAAGTATGCGGATTGAATTTGGAGGAGCCGTGGTTTTCGCACGGACAGCTATACGTGGCCTGTTCAAGAGTTGGCATTCCAAATTGTTTATTTATTCATACCCAAGATGGAAAAACAAAAAATGTTGTATATCCAAATGTGTTGGATAAGATTAAAAATAAAGGATCAAACATTTTGAAATAAAACAAATGATAAATCTTCATATAGAAAAGTTCCAGAAGTTTTCATCAATTTTTCAATATTTGGTGTAGAGGAGCACACCGGGGTACCGCTAGTTTTATATATAAAAAATTAATATAGCGAGTTTTGAGTAACTTTTACATAGCAAGCTTTTTTTAGCTTTTCGCGCTCTCTCTTCCATGAAGATTGGTCTACTTCTTTTTTACGGCGTCTTCCACTAGGCACCGAAACTAACACGTTTTCTTGCAGTTTTCTAAGTTCATCAGAAGATGGACACTTTCGAACTTGTATAAATAATAATAGATTGGCGCTTACACATATGTTAGTGTTTGGCCAAGCTTCTCCTCCGATTTGTGGCGTGCGCCTTGATGTTGTCACACAAAGCGGAGGGACTTACAGTTTTACGCCGACTCCGAACGGCAATTGTATTTTTATGAGAAGCTGTTTTTCATGGCAGAAATACACTTGGAGGTTTGCCATTGCCTGCCGAGGGACGACCGCTGTTAAGAAAAAACCTTTTTTTCTATATTTTTGCGATGTTGCTTTGACCAGGGTTTGAACCCAGGCATTGTGGAGTGGAAGCGCGCACTGCTTACCACTACACCACAGCGGCCGACTTGTATAAATACGTACAATAAATATTATAGCGACTTTTGAAAGTGTATTTATACATACAAAGTATTATAGCGACGTTTGCTAGAGTAGCTAACATTTGATGCTATTTTTTTCAGAATATATAAGGATTTTGCACTGTATTGTTAGTGGTTCGCTCTCCTGTAAAATTTGAGTGCCGTAAGATAGGCGGTTTTGCATTTGGGCGATGGGCGGTTTTGCAAAAACGTCGACGATGGTATGTATGTATTAATGTACACATGTATTATAAAACTCTCTCATTCCCCTCTCTACCTCTTAGGGAATCGGCAAAGAAGTTTTACCTCTGGTGCAAGCACATACATACATATAAATACTACGTTTATGCGTTGGTCGAGATCATTTCATGAATTTGAATTTAAACTGTGTGCATAACCAACAAAATTTCATGAATTCAATTATACACGAAAGTTTACCATGAATTTCGTTATAATTTCATAAAATGGTGAATTGCCAGTCTGGCAATGCCGCATTTAAGAAACAGCTGCTTGCTAGGGTTTTGACGTTTTCAGATTCAAAATCATGTAGTGCAATAATCATGATTTAAAACACTGGAAAAGTTACCTGGATTTGTTCAAATATTAAATAAGTTCAAAATGAATAAACTGAAATTCATTAAAACCAATTTAAATATAACATGGACCATTTTCTGGAACCAAAAATGTCACAACTCTGCTGTTTAGGTTCTTGATAGTGCGTTTCCACTTTTTCAAAACACTTAATTTCATGAATTTGCGAATTATGCATAAACGGAACCATTTATGAATTTATGAAATGAAGAATTCTGTCACATACACGTAGTAATAAAGGCATGCGCGTCTTATTTTTTAACTAACAGTTCGGTCAAATTCTTTTTTTTTTATTTCAGTATCGTTGTATATGAAGGTGGATCAGTAATGTCGCAAGCTCGCTCCCTATGGCGGCTGGAGTTAGCCCGGACTAAATGGACCGGAGGTTTTATTAATTGGTATCATCCGATGCGTATACGCCATATTACCACTGGCCGATATTTAGGCGTCAATGAGAATAACGAACTAATTTTGGTAAAAATATCTCCTTATCTGATTTTTTTTGTACGATAGATGATTTTTCTTTTTTGTTTAAAGCTAAAAAAAGAAGAAGCATCAATTGCGTCAACGACTTTCTGCCTCAGGCAGGAAAAGGACGATGAAAAAAAAGTACTTGAAGATAAAGATCTCGAGGTCATAGGCGTGCCTATCATAAAGTACGGTGATACCACTGTCATTGTGCAACATTGCGAGTCCAGCCTATGGCTAAGCTACAAAAGTTATGAAACCAAAAAAAAAGGTGTAGGCAAAGTAGAAGAAAAGCAAGCCATTTTACATGAAGAAGGAAAAATGGATGATTGTCTGGACTTTTCCCGTTCGCAGGAGGAGGAGTCGAAAACTGCACGTGTTATACGCAAATGCAGCAGCCTTTTCACACAATTTATTAAGTAAGTATATAGGTATTTTTTTTTAGTGTTGCATAATATGCATGCCATTTTCGAAATTTATTTGTTTTTCTTTTATTCGCTGTTAAAATAATAAGTGGTCAAGTAAATGACTTGACATACATACATACATACTTACGTACATACTATACTATCGTACACGTTTGACGAAACTTTTTTAAACATAAAGCACCAACTTAAAATAAAAACACAAGTGTGCTAGAATTAAAAAAAAAAAAACAATTTAACTATGTACATACTTAAGGATTATCAATTCAAATACTTATATACAATTATATTTGAAGTGGGGCGAGCGACCAAGAACCTGCCTTAGGATTAAATTTCGTATTAAATTTTTACCCTCCCTGCAACTTACAAAAAATCCGGTTGGCTAACAAGGAAATTTACGTTTAAAAATTTGTATGGAACGTATTATTTTTAAAAACGTTTCGGCACAGGCTTTACACCTCAAATATTTGTTTTGGTTTTGAGAACACGCATTTCCAATTCATCTCCTAAAATTAATATTTTAATTTTTAAAACGCACATTTTCAAATCGCTTTTTAAGAGGATTATTTAATAATTGAAAATTCGCATAATCAGATTAGATATTAAAATATTTATTGCTTTTTTAATATGCGTTTTCAAATATGATTTTAAAATTATATTTTGATTAATGGCGTTTTCTGTTCTCCAAAAAAAATTTCACCTTCTTATATGGCAACATTATCAGAGTGCAACATTTTAAGGAAAGAGCACGAAATATAAATGTGACAATGCTGAGAAAGCAACTCGAACACTTGACAGCCCTGGCGCAGGGCAGAATAAATGCAACATTATTTCGAGAAAAGAAAACGCTATAAAACATTTATTGATATACCAACGTACATATGTATGCATACTAGGGTGCCCATTGAAAATGCTTTTTTTGGAAATTTCAAGACCCTACCCCCTAATTTTATTCGTTTTTATGAGAAATATTATTGCCTATTTTTATAGATTTTTTATCGATTTAGGTCAGAAAATACGATTTTGTATATTTATGAGTTTTTGAATGACTATTTTTGATTCGATTTTAAAGATCGATTATAATCTGAGAAGAGGATATATAAACCTTTACAATGGTATATAGTAATCTATTGTCGGACTTGGCTTGTTGGTATTTTTATCGGGTAAAATTAAAAAAAAAAAATGTTTCTCTTAATTTTTGAAATTTTGACTATCGATAATTTCCGCAATTTCAAAATATGTAGTACTATCTAAAATTAAATATATTTTTAAATAAACTGATAGGAAAGAACTACTTGACCGATCTCAACTAAATTTTGTATACACATTGTGCTTAGCCACCTTAAGTTCCGTCTTGAATATTTTTGAAATCGGACAAAACCTATTCCCCCTAAAATATAGCAATCTTTGAGTTTTTTGAAATTACCATTACGTTGGTGGAGCCCGTGGTTTTTGTCCGATTTTAAAAATTTTCAATATGGCGCAATGTGTGGTCGAGATAGGCCAAGTAGTTTCTGAGATACACATATATGATATAAGTGGGCGTTTCCACCCCCATTTTCCTAAAATTTCTTGAAAAACCACTTTTTTGCTAAAAAAGCGATTGTAATATATCAATTTTGAATAAATATTGATGGATTTCTTAGCCACGCTGCTCAAAAAATCTGAAATTTCGTTACATACACAATATGAATTCAAGGCCGTATTTAAGAAAAGTCGCCTAAGTTCGACAACTTTTATGCGATCGTAATAAATGAGCTATCAGTTTATTAAAAAAAAATTATTTTTTCTACATATTTTTAAATTATGGAAATTATCGATGGTGAAAATTAAAAAATTAAGAGAAATATGCGTTTTTTTATTTTACCCGATAAAAAAATCCCAACAAGCAGAGTCTGGCAACAGATTATTATATACCATTTTTAAGGCCTATATATCCTCCTCTCAGATCATATTCGATCTCTGAAATTTAATTAAAAATAGTCATTAAAAAACTCATAAATCTAACATAAATCGACAGGTTGCGAGCTCTAAATGACCTTTAAAAAATTTGTGAAAATAGGCAATAATATTTCTCATAAAAACGAATAAAATTAGGGGAGGAGGGGTCTGGAAATTTCCAAAAAAGCATTTTCGATGGGCATCCTAATGTATACACATGTACTTATATATACATTAGCTACAAAAGGTAATAACGGCGATAGATATGTGAACACCCAGTAGGAAAAGTAGTAATGCATTCCATGCCTGATAAAAAAATCGAATTTATTTATTTCTCATATATGCGGCTGTATTGCTGCGTCGCGTTCTTCCGTGTACCAAACAAATTTGAATGTAACTCGCAAGATTATTTTTAAGATAGCTGGAAAAGTAAGTTTGTGATAAGGGTCTCGCTAATCTTACACCAATGGCAAGACACTTTGGGGGGGCACACTCACCACTTTTTCCGAAAAACGAGAAAAATAAAAACTTAAAACTTTGGGGAGACTTAAACTTCGCACTTTATTGGCTTGGCGGGGTTATATCGCAGAACACGTCTGAACACGTTGACATTCGAACAATTGTGTTTTGTTTTATGTTATTTTGTAGTTCATGTGTGTGTGTATGTGTAAGTACAATTCATATGTATATATGTGTGTGTAGGTGTATTATGTGTACGTGGGGGGAACGGGCCGTGGTGAGTGGGCGCTTAGGCAGGGTTGCTGCTGCTCCACGGAGCCATTCACCATAGACAAATAGGGGGGAACAGCTGAACTCATTTAGCCATCCCGGCCCCCCTAGGCGAGTCTTCAGCCTAGTAGTTGCTGGAGTTGCTGCAGGGTCTACACTACGTTGCTTAGTCCGGTTGCCCGACGGGGGCGTTGCGTGGGCTGGTGTCGGCGACGGGTCCCTGCTGGAGCGCGATAGCGAGCCCCGGGGTGGTTAAAAGTGCGGTGGCCCTGTTATGCTGGTGGTCCCGCGATCGTGCTATATTGCCCTGCGGTCTTCGTCGCCCATTGCTTCGGGCAACTGGTGTCTCGGGCATGATGCGTGCGGGGGTGCGATGCAACAGCGTGTGGTGCGGTCTGTCGCACAGTTGGCACATGATGGGGGAGTCGCACTCCCTCGTGGCGTGCGACAGCGCCAAGCAGTTCAGGCAGTACCCATGAGCTTGCGCGACTTGCTGGCGCTGCGGCGGCTGCATACTCCTAAAAATGGAGCATAGGCGGAGTTTGTGTGGGCAACGACACAGTGGGCATCGTACGCCATGTACGGCTGCTGAGCTCCTTTGTGGAGGTTCGGCACGTAGTGATGCCATCGGAGCGGCGGCGGGTCGGGGCGTGAGGTTTCGAGGCGCTGCGGCCGGAGCTGCTGCCGAGCGGGGCACGGTGATTGCTGAACGGATAGTTGGCGTTGGTGCGGCTTCCAGCATTTCCACGTCCATATTTTTCTACATTAGGGGAGAACGGACTTTAGTATAGCATAAATCATTTATGAGCGTGATTGCTAGGTGTAAGCCACTTGGTGTGAGTTCGAAGGTACGGATTTAGGCACTTTTTATATTATCGGGTTTTGTTACGGCTTCGTTACGTTTATTGCTGTTTGACGATTTTAGATATCGGAATTCGCGCCATCGGTAGGGGAGGCGGTTGGGAGGAAACATAGCTTGACGAGCGGTCGAGTTAGTATGCCGCTTTGTGTACGGATATCAGCTACGCGGACATGACCGTCGGATGCATGATATACTTTCTCTATGCGGCCGAGCCGCCATTCCGTAGGGGGAAGACATTCGTCATGAATTAGGACACAGTCTCCAATCTTTGGCGCTTCTTGAGTGTTTTTCCATCGGTATCTTTTATGGAGGTCTTTTAGATATTCCTCCTTCCATCGACGGCTAAATTCGTGATGGAGAACTTTAATTCTTTCCCATCGATTTGTGAGTGATAGGGATTGCGTTTCTGGCTCGGGTATGGCCAGAAGTGGAGCTCCTCTGAGAAAATGCCCAGGGGTGAGGGCTGTGAACTCGGAGGGATCTTGCGAGAGGGTATTGAGAGGCCGTGAGTTGAGAACGGCTTCAATTCGAGCTAATAGAGTGGTGAACTCTTCATAAGTAAATTTGTAATTACCAGCGATCTTCTTGAAATGCGCTTTAATGCTTTTTACGGCGGATTCCCAGAGTCCCCCCATGTGTGGAGCGCTAGGGGGAATAAATTGCCAATTAATTCCTTGGGGTGCATATTTCTTTATGATTTCAGGCGAGACTTCCTTAATAAATTGGATAAATTGCCTTTCAGTGGCTCTTTGGGCTCCGACGAATGTTTTGCCATTGTCGCTCATTATTTTTGAGCGAAATCCACGCCTTCCGACAAAGCGGGCAAATGCCGCGAGAAAAGCTGCAGTTGTCAGATCTGAACATAACTCAAGGTGTATCGAAACACATACAAAAACGGCCACATAGCCCTTCGTAAAGGTGGAAGACCTTAACATAGAGGCCTTTATCTGGAAAGGCCCCGCAAAGTCAACACCCGTGATGGTAAAGGGCAATGAGAAATTGCAGCGTTCAGGTGGTAGAGCTGCCATGATCTGCGTGCGCATTTTCTGCTTATGTAGAGTGCAAACTTTACACAGGAAAGTACATTTCTTTATCTGAGGCTTTAGTCGTGGGATATAAAGCTCTTGTCGGATCATTTGCTGCATGAGCCGATGTTCGGCGTGTAGCATCAATAAGTGCAAATAATTTATGTACAGTGTGGCAAATGGGGATTTTTCGGGTATTATTATTGGGTGCCGCTCGTTATAACTCAAACTGGAGTTTGCCAGACGTCCATTGGCGCGTAGCAGTCCCTTCGAGTCTAGGAAGGGATTAAGAACTATGAGTGGGCTCTTTTTATCTATTGGCTTTGATACCATCAAAAGTGCTATTTCCCGGTCATAATAGCGGGTCTGAGTAGACATAATCAGAGTGATTTTAGCCCGTTGCAGATCTTGGTGGGTTAGTGCATGATGCGGGGGGT